CGGGCAGAAAGGTCGTAGGCTGGTCCTTGGAGCGACAGACTGCAAAGGACTGCAGAAGGGGGAGACTTAATAGGGCCCAGGGTGGGGGGTGCTTTTGGAGGTGCTGTGGTAGGCCGCCTGAAAGAGGTGCAAGCTCATCCCAAACCTACCCCTGGACCTAAGGAGGATGAAAAGTTAATGATTTGTGACAGAAAATACCACACCACCCCCCTCGCCTTCTCTAAAATCCCTCACTGGCCACCAGGTGACACTGTCCCCTAAACCTGCTTAAAGGAGGCTAGGTATACTAGACTCCTGCCAAAATACACAGTTCTATGTTTTTTCCTATATATACACACCTATAATAAAGTTTATCAGTCAGGCACAGTAAGAGATTAAAAATAACTAATAAAACAGAACAATTATAACAATATAACAATAAAAGTTATGTGAATGTGCTGCTCAATCGCTCTCAAAATACCTTATTGTACTGAACTCCCCCTTGTGAAGATGTGAAATCACAATGTCTGTGATGGGATGAAGTGAGGTACTCAGAATAGCATGCAATTTAAAACATATGAGTTGTTTTATATTTCTGGGATTTCCCGTTTAGTATTTTTGAGCACTGCTGACCATTGGTAGCTGAAACTGCAGATAAGGGCCTACTACTTTATCTAAGTATATCCATGTCCCAATTGGAGTTCAGAAACAAGTATTGAGTACACATTCAGGAATGTGCAATGGCAAGATTTAAGCAGATGCAGTTCCTTAAGGGACTGGAGTGGGCAGGTTCCCAAAGCTCAGACACGGTCAGTTAGGGTCCAAAGGGTATAATAGGACTCAGCAATCCAAAATCTCAGTCCTTAGAACAAGAACACCAGGCCAAAGCTAGGCCAGCAATTGAAAGTTGGGCAAGCACTTTTTACAGTTCTCCTGCTTAAGGTTCAGATTGGTCCTACAGATAAGACCAAGGTTAAGCCTATACATTGGATAAAGTTCAGGTGATAAATGGGTGGACCCAGCAGTGTAGAAAATACAGTTGCAAAGGCTGAGAATACAGTAGGGCCTGACTAGGGAACCAAAATGGTTGTTTTGTTACAAAAAGGCTCTTAAGTGCTCTGGAAAACCCAATACATGTTGTATGAATAGGATTTTTATTAATAGTACCTCATCTATGATTATAATGTTACATTTTGCTGGGCATGACAGATTTTTTACCATTGAGATGTTTATGGAAGAAAGTTTGAATTTGCTGCCAGGCATCTACCTGTGCCCTTGAATGAGCCTTTGGCTCACCGCCATAGAATACTGCTAGGCCCAATACTGCATGCACAGAGGCTCTACTAGGAGGGAAATAAGGTGGGTCAATACAATGACCAGTGCCTGGGTAGTGGATTATCTGGGGTCTGTCTTTCCCATGGGCTTGTAACCGTTCAGAGGCTATATGAGCATAGAATTCACTCTTCCAGCTGTGATCATCCATGCCAACAATGAACAGGAAGGGCCCCTGGGCCTTTTCCAATGGAATAAGACTTTGGCGGTAGGGTTCTTCCAGTGGATTGTTCCAAATATTCATGAAACTGTAAAGTCCTGACTCCATGGTTGTATGTTTCCCTAGGTCACTGTCGAGACCAGGAATAATCATATCCTTGTAATGCAGTGGAGCTACTGTGTTGGCCACACAGGCACTGATAAGTACAGTGGCTGTGATGCCCTTCAAGAAAGAGGCCATTGAGAGACACAGGTCACCTCCTTTGGAGAATCCAAGAAGCCCAATACTAGGGCCTTTTACCTGTTGAGGAGAGAGAGAATGAATAAGCCTAGCATTCATAAATACAAGACAAAAACAGTGATTTTATATTCTCTAGGTAGTTTTCTCAAATGTCATTTGCTTTGCTTCCTTATGCAACAATCTAAAAGGTTCAACAGTGTCTTCTAATAAGCAAATCAATTGATTTTCTAGTACACAGGCCCTCCACCAATATTTATAGGGTCGGGGTTAAGAATACACATAGAGCCCTAACCGGTTTTGCTCAGTGGTTAGAGCGTTGGCCCGTGGACGGAAGGGTCCTGGGTTCGATTCTGACCAAGGGCATGTACCTTGGTTGCAGGCCCGGCCCCAGTCCGGGCGGGAGGCAACCACTGGATGTGTCTCTCCCACATAGATGTCTCTCTCTCTCCACCCCCTTCCACTCTCTCTGAAAAAGCAATGGAAAAAAATATCCTCTTGTGAAGAATAAAAAAACCCCAAACACATAGAGACCCATACACCTTGTACCTAAGTATTTAAAAGTTAAATACCAAATGAACAAAGTGTTAAATAAAATATATTCTTTTCTCCTACCTTGATAATATGCCTCCGTAACAATTTATAAGGTTCATATTTAAAATCTTGGAACTCCTTGGAGTTCTGTACTGGAACATGGCATAGGGGAGAGCCAGGACCTGGCCCCAATTGTATCTACGTATATCAATGTCCCAGTTGGAGACATTGGAGCCTGGTCACTGGCCCACCCTCCTTTTCTTCCACCTCTGGCTCCATCATGCACCTTGACAGGCTTCTCACACACATGTGTGAACACCACAGCCAATAGGTTGAAAGCCTAGGTGTATTAACATTGAAGGACCCTGAGAAGAGGAATTGGGCCTGAAAGCAGGATCAGCAGAGAATTCTGGGGTTCAAGATCCCAAGGGCATGGTGAGAGAGGGGCCACATAGGTTCCAGGTGAACATACTCCCTTGACCCCTTGGACTCCTTACCCCATTGGCAGAGATGCAGCCAAAGGAAGGCCAGAGTGTGACCATCTAAAACAAAGGGTTCAAAGGATAAGCCCCTTTTGCCTAGGTTTGAGGGCAGAACTGATAACACATTCTGTTTTCTTTTTCCTGGGGCCTTGTGTCCCCTAAATAAATCAATCATCACAGTTCCAGATCATCTAGGCTTTAGCAGCTCTGTTAAAAGACCAGTCCATGAATTTTAACAGAGTTAAACCATCCTACAGACCTCGCAGAACATCTTATTTCTTAACATTGAAATGTTTGGGTCTCTAAGCTTAGGGAGTAGCACAGAGTATGTATTCCAGCTATTATCACTATCAAATGTTTTATTTAATTCATTTTTCCCCACTATTATATAAGAACTTTCTCTACAAAACCCTAATACCATTATCATACTTAAAATGAGTAATGATTCCTTAATATCATCAAATACACAGTCTCCATTGAAATGTCACCAATTGTCTCAAATATGTCTGTTTCTAGTCAAACTTTTTCCTCTACACATTCACATTAATCTTATAAATGAGAAAAACTGGATCCCAGAGAGGGCAATTGCCTTATTCAGGATTGTAAGGCCACTTGGTAGTAGATATAAAACCAGAACTCAAGGTTAATAATTTTTTAGTCCAGTTCTTTGAATTATGGTCAAGAATTAAAGGGAGGGACCTGGCCAGGGTGGCTCAGTTGGTTGGAGCATCGTCTCATACACCAAAAGACTGTGGGTTCCATTCCTGGTCAGGGCACATATCCAGATTGTGTGTGTATGGGAGGCAACTGATTGATGTTTCTCTCTCACATCAATTTTTCTCTCCCTTCCTCTCTCTAAAAATCAACAAACATGTCCTTGGGTGAGGATTTTAAAAAAAGAAAGAATTAAAGGAAACTAAACATCAACTGTTAGGGGTGGAAATGGAAATAATAATCCTTTTAATAAAACTTTTGAAGGAGCCTTTGTGTCTCATGGCATACTTCCAGCCCCCAGTGTCCTGGTGGAGCTTTTGGATCCAGCCTTGTGTCCACTCTGCTTCTCCTCTGCATTCAGGCAAGCACCAGAACCCACCTTTGGATGCTGCAGCATGAAGTCCACGGCTTCTTCAAAGTACTCCAAGTGCACAACATTCAGACTTTCAGGGAGGTCTTCAAATCTGAAATAAGCCAGAGCAAGCACAGCAAAACCATGTCCGGCCAGGAGGCTCGCCCTGTATTCACAAAGGCCACCACCACTTCCAAACAGATCAATGATCCCAGGGAAGGGTCCTGCACCTGGAGAGTACCACACATCATAAGGAGCTTTAGACTCTCAAAAGACATTCTTGGGTTTCAGATTTTGGCAGTCAGGAAAGAAAAGTTTCTGAAGCAAGGAAAGCCGGGGGTGTAGGGGTTGGTGGAAGAAGGATCCTTTTTAATTTAACTTTAAAAAACACACACCCAAAAACCTGGGGGGAGAAGGGAGAGGGAATAAAATGCCTGATTTTTCTCTAGAATTTTTCACAAAAAAATAATATTAATATAAATACAATTGGCGCTTAAACAACAGGGGAGTTAGGAGAGCCACCCCTCTAAGGTCAAAAATCCCAGTATAACTTTTTTTTTAAATCCTCACCTGAGGACATGCTGAGAGGGAGAGAGAAACATGGATCAGCTACCCTCTGCATGCTCCCCAGGGATCAAATCCACAACCCAGGTATGTGCCCTGACCAGGAATTGAACCAGCAACCTTTCTGTGCATGGAAGGATGCTCAACCTATTGAGCCACTCTGGCCAGGCCCAGTATAACTTTTTTTGTTTGTTAATCCTCACTGGAGGATATATATATATATATATATATATTTTTTTT